CCCTCAGGAAACATCCAGTGTGGAGGATAAAACACACCGAATTTGCGCCCTGTAGAGACCGTCAGCAGCTTACGGTCCCAACATTGAGAGAAAAAACCAATGCACATGTTACCACGCCAATCTGCAAATCGTCTCCTTATAGGGACAAGGAAGATGCGTCGCCGCGCTGTCAGGAAATGGGAACTAGGAAACTTTACCACCGCCGCGAACAAGGGAACATGATATGTTTGATCAATAGACCTTATTTGGAAAAAAAAGTTTAGTACTATCTTTTAATTTTTATTTTTTGCATGAAAAAATAAATAGTATTCCGTCCATCCGGAAATACTTGTCGGAGACAATACCTAACCTTAGCAGTACGAATCAACAAGCCTTCAGCTTCAGTGGTAGCCTAGTGACAAAATTTCGTGTTTTGACCCTTTTCTGAAACCTATTCAAGATTTGACCCTAGTTTGAAAAAAATTCAAGATCTGACCCTTTTGCTACCGCGAGAGTCCTTGGCGGTAACAGCCTACCGCCATGGTGGCGGTAGGAAACATCGCTACCGCCAACCGAGCTGGTGGTAGCCTGCATACCCTACCGCCAAGGTGCTTGGCGTTAGGCACGAGCACGTACTGTGTTCAATACTTAGGAGTTTTTTGACGGTAGGGCATGCAACCTTACCGCCAGGGACCTTGGCGGTAGGCTGTTATACCCTACCGCCATGGTCTCTGACGGTAGCAAAAGGGTCATATCTCAAAAAAAATCAAACTAGGGTCAAATCTCAAATAAGTTTCAAAAAAAAGTCAAAACACAAAATTTAGCCTAGCCTGATAGGCCAAAACCAACGGAATAAAGAATGGCGGGGAAATACCCGCATTGTAGCCTCTGCATCTGTACCAACCATGCATATCTAGGTCCATGGCAGCTGGTGCATCTGTAAAGACAAGGATCCCCTGACGTATTGCAGAGTCCACATGGCAGTGCTTCAATGGCACCCTACCGTATGTCAGGGGAGCTTTGTCCATCTGTACATGATGCATCAATATTTAAGCATACATGTATGAAGTGACGTATTATAGAATCCACATGTCAGTGACCCAATAACATCCAACAGTAAGTCAGGGGAGCTTCGTTCATCTGTATATGATGCACCAATATTTAAGTATACATGTACAGAGACGAAAACATATCTAGTTATGTACTCCAAACACATTTAGTATTGCGTATCCTGTCTGTCACCATCCAAAGCAGTATTATAGCCTAGTTGATGGCTTAATTTATTATTATTATCTTGACATCACCATCCCATCCAAACACACTATAGTCTACTAGACCGCCTAGTTTATCATTATCTTGAAGCCAGTATCACTATCCCAATATGCTATAGTCTAAGTTGCCGCTTAGTTCATTATGATGTAGAACTGAAATTTGATTGTTCATTTATTTTCTAAGTCAAATATCTGAAATTTGTTCCAGCCATGTTAGATCTCCAATGTGCTTTGCTTGTTCTGTGCACATGAAAATGCGGAAATTTTGTTCATATGGTCGTTACCCAAAAGTTGACTTCCAATGATTTTAGTTTGCCACTGTGGGATTTTAAGTTTGTGATATGACCATAAAATTTTTGAAATTTGGGCTTATTGATATTCTTGGTGACAAATAACGAATAATAAAGGTACGCAAGGATTGAAATGTTGGAATATTTGGATTATGCTAGAATATGAACTCTGGGATGTGCAAGAGATTTGAATGCGAAATATTCAGACAACAAAATACTTTTGATAGCTGGAAATTATCATTCTCACGGTGACAAATTATGAAGTGTGAAATTTTAGAATCTTTGAGCGATATAAACATCCCAAATGTGAAAAATATAGAAATTGTGTTGCCTTCCTCCGATTGCTGTTATTATTCTTCCAAAAAGGTGCTTAAGGTGTAAAAGTAATATTGCCAAATTAAGTTAACCATTTTTAGTATCTAATACAAACCGTCCACCATCCACCGTGTGTGACAAATATGTTGTATTTGTTATATGTGGATTTTTGTGCAACCAAGGTTTTGCACAAACCTGAAGTTAAGTTGGGTGGCTAGAATGACATGTATGAATATCTTTGTATTTGTCATACGTGGATTTTTTGCAATTGCGGTTTTGCACAAACCTCAAAACTAATTTGGGTGGCTAGAATGGCATGTATGAATATTTTTGTAGGAACAACATTTCAATAACAAAACATTGTTCAGCTTGTGAATCGCTAGAAAGTCGAGTTTTCTCAAAGATTGATTATCATTGTCACATAAATAAAGGTATAAATTCCATGCATGACAAATTTGAGTTATTACATAGCAACACCTAAAGCACTCATACAAATTATATTTTTTTCGTCAATTCAAACTGGTGTTGCTACAATACAAAGGGGAACGACCTTAGTAAGTGTGAGGCCAAACTTATCTTCCATGTCAATCCCATCCCTTTCCAGCTCAGCAGGGAGACCCCACTTAAACTGATGTAACAACGAAGCGAGGATCAAATGCACCATCCTAGTTGCCAATGTCATCCCAGGGCAGATCCGACGTCCGGCACCAAATGGAAGGAGCTCAAAATCCGCACCTCTAAAGTCAATTGTGGAACCCAGGAACCTTTCCGGCATAAATTTCTCAGGTTCATCCCATACATCTTTATCTCGACCTATCGCCCATACGTTTATGAAAACGCGTGAACCTTTCGGTATTGTGTAGCCTGCTATTTTCAGTGTTGCCTCAGGTTGGCGTGGCAACAAGAGTGGAGCAGGAGGATGGAGTCGAAAAGTCTCTTTTATGATAGCTTGAATATAGGGCAACCGAACAATGTCAGCTTCTTCAATGTTTCTTCTTGGGCCGATAACTTGTTCAAGCTCATTGCAAGCCTTAGCTAATGATGATGGATTTTGGAGAAGCTCGGTCATTGCCCATTCCACTGTGCTAGAGCTTGTGTCACTGCCGGCGGCAAACAAATCCTAACATGCAAAGTCACATCAATATAGTCTGTCAAATGTAGCTATTTAGATACTCTAAACAAGCATCACATAATGTACAATGGATAGTTTGCTAAGTGTGCTATATAACAAAAAAAATTGTTTTGAAGTGCACATAGATACTGTATGGATGAATTATATGAGAAATAATTCGCTTATTTTGAACGTTAGATTTGATATTCTTTCTATTGCATTATAGTAGAAGAAGCCACTGTTCGTGGACTTATATTCTTCCACGCTGGATGAAGTGCGGCATGTAAGGGCTATGGTGGGAATTTGAAATGCAGCAAAATACAATAAGACCAGGTTGAAAGAAAGAAAAACATATGTACTTGAGTTTTAGATGATTCTATCCTTATATAAGAAAAACATATGTACTTGAGCTTTTGAATTTAACATCGTTCATGTTTTCTGTAGCAAGCTTGAAAATCTATTACTATCAATA